ACACACACACACACACACACACACACACACACACACACACACACACACAAATAAAAAATACCCCAGATCGGGAACCAGTGGCAAAGCAAAGTCTACATATAGCTAAACTTAATGGACCAGTGAGTTTTACTGGGGGAACTTAACCAGAACAGAAATGACTCGAAAACAGCTGTATCACCAAAACCTGCCCCACTATGGATAAGAGTCCAGGAACTCTATAAACCTGGAGCACAGTGTACAGCCTGCAGGTGGATCAACAGGTTGAGGAGCGTATTTTCCAAGTAGCGTAGTTGGTCTCTGCCTCTTCCAGCAGCTCAGCTTGTTTGAGTGTTTCTTAGCAGTCCTTACTACTTAGATATGCTGAGGGTAGTGAATCGGGTCAGTTTCAGGGACTTCCTGAAGTCTTTTAGTTGCTTACTTCCTGAGCTTAATGAGCTTCCAGTAGAATGGAGTACTTTCCCATCTGTCAGAATATCCTGCGTCTTAAGGAGCCTCCCTCCAAGATGGACAGTTTTATCTTGAAGGAAAGTGCTACATAGCATCAGTCAAACAAAAATTGAAGCAAGGGTTTTAAAAAGACACCTTACCAGCAAAAACACACAAATGTGAAATAAGCATAGGGAGAGCACCACCCACAATGACATCAGGTGATGAAAGTCAAAACACAGTCCACTCTGAAAACAGTGCATCATCTCTGATTCCATAATGTGTGCCATTTTAGAAAATTAAAACCAAGGAAACAGTAAAAAAAAAAAAAAGTCCCTGCTGATTAGTGGGAAGTGGAATGAAAAAACAGAACACAGGGGACTTAGGGCAATGTACCAGTTGTGTGACACCTGAGCAGTGATTCTGTGGACATCAGAGTCACCAGAAACACCGGTTGTGACCTTTGGGTGACATCACAGCCTTGTCAACTGTAACTAACCCAGTCTTCAGCCAGAAGTAGTTTACTATGGGGCCTTCATTCCTGGTGGTAAGAAGAGTGAGGAAAAGCTCTACATTATCCGTTCATTTTTGCCAAATTGCTCCAAACCTACTTCCATGGTTTTGTTTGTGTTAAATGCATTTGCATGTGTTTTAATGTCCTGGTGCGCCCCGTTCCCAGCTGTGCCTATTCACTCTGTAGCAGTCAGTGTACTGACAATGAGGATAAAGTATGTTTAGCAGAGTTTAAGGACTTTGCTCAAGAATGTGCAAAGTCCTCGTTAGAACTCAAGAGTCCCCATTCAAGGAGATAACCTAGAACCCCTGCAGAGATGTAGCCCATGGCAGCTCAGTATCCAAGTGGGTTCCCTAGTGAGGGGAACAGGGACTATCTCTGTCATGTACTCAGTTGCTGGCTCTTTGATCACCTTCCCCTGATGGGGGAACAGCCTTACCAGGCCACAGAGGAAGACAGTGTATCTAGTCCTGATGAGACCTGATAGGCTAGGGTCAGATGGAAAGGAAGGAGGACCTCCCATATCATTGGGTTTGGAGAGGGGTGTGGGAGGAGATGAGGGAGGGAGGGAGGGTGGGACTGGGAGGGAATGAGGAAGGGGGCTACAGCTGGGATACAAGGTGAATAAACTGTAATTAATAAAAAAAATTAAAATTAAATCTGCATTCTCAGTAAGCTCTTGGGAGGTACGTTCCTACTAGCCAGAGTAGTTCATTTTGGTGACCTCTGTATTAGAGCCACATCTGGATACTCCACACTTCAATCCCCAGCCTTTGGCATGTTTACCCAAGTTGATAAATTGATGATCATATTTCAAATCTGATTTACTGTACTTTCTTTCCTGCCCAGAAGCTTTAGGATTCCATTGCAATTTTCTAATTTGTTATTAATCATAGTCAATGAATTCAAAGCCTGGGCATGGGGGGAGGGGAAGGGATTTCTATTTCAGATCAACACACTTTCTAAAGTTTCATTTACGTGTGTGGGTGTTTTGCCTGCCTGTGTGTCTGTGCAGCATGTGCAGTGCCCACGAGGTCGGAAGAGAGTATGGAGTCTCTCTGCAGCTGGAGTTACAGAGACTCGGGATCC